ACGAAGCCGAAGAGCTCGCGATAGGACTCTTCGACAACGGCGACTGAGTTTCCAGCTCTGTCGCAGTAACGTTGTCCATGCTTTTTTGTGTATTTATACTATTATTTCTTGGTTTTTCTTTGGTGTCCTTCCCGAAAGGTGAACTCCATACAACTGCGGAGGGTTCAATCATCGTGGGCACTTATGGTGGCATACACGCCATCGTTGTCTGTTTAGACCACCTATTCTCCTTTCTCTGTGCCCTTACCTTCTGGTGTAGATGGAAGGGGTCTGGTGGGCGTTGTGTTGGTGAGCGCGAGACGTTCTTCTACGAAGGGGTATAAGCGGAATGGACTTTGATAGGCTAACATTCCTAATCTGGGTTAATTTCCTTGAAATATCTATTGTCGTATTTAGAAGGTCTATCTTGGGAATGAAATCAGTATAAATATTCGTTTCGTGGGTAACAGCTGGGGACCTAGGTATATCGTTGGGTGTATGGACCTCACAATTTTCCCTAACAGTCAATAAGCCCGTGTTTATGAGTTCGATTGTATAGGTGTATGGGATACAAATTATCGTTATATCCACTGGGGTTGGCGCTAGGTACAGCCATGCGCTCCTCCTCTCCAATTTATCAAAAATAGGGACGGTATTGAAACTATGTCTTATATCACAAGACACGGGTATTTTGGTATCAGTCATGAATAGCAATGTTTCGCAAGTCCGAATTGGCCTCCGAGGAAATTGTTTGGGGTACTTGCAGATATATATGTTTAATATGTGTTTACACTTGTGGTAGTCCTCCACATTCAGGGGTATAAAGGTGTCCCTATCAACCCCTACTGCTAAGTAGTCTACCCTGGGCTGTATGAAGGTTAGTTGGGTATCTGATAACCTGGTCGGAAAAGGGGTGATATGATAAATTCTGAAAATTTGTTTTTGGCACAGAGGTATTTCTAAATTATAAATTAAACTTCTTTTTGTGAAAATTACTGACAAATCTGTTAGGGTGATGAAATCCATGGTATTAGCTAGTTCTATGGTTGGTATGGGTAGTTGTATATTTTCGGGTAAATCTTCGGGACTTCGTTCAATGTGCTATTTATTTTATCTAGATTCCTACTCAAAATTTTCCATGGTGTCCCTTAAGGTTATAGTGTTATAATTTAATTTCTCGGCTATAGATCTGATATTGTTTAAACCTGGTTGTAAAATAACGGTTTGTTTCTCTTATATTTTGAGAACCCTTTGTACGCGTTGAATATTATTACCTTTGCCAAATCGTCTTCGTTTAGTTCGCCAAAAATATACCTATTTATTGTCACTACTATATTGAAAAGAGCCCTTTTTTCCCTAACGTTTGCACTTTTTATAATCTTAATAATAGTTTATTTGATAAAGTATTTAGGCAAAAACTAACTAGTACTCAAGTAACGGCTGTCAAAAGACTGACGATGCTCTGATGTGTTATGGTCGTGGTTGGCTAGCCTTCCGGTCTTGCTTAACCGAAAAATAAACAATAGCACATTCCTTAAGGCCGACCGCGTCTAACACACAATATATGATGTTCTGTTATTACAATTGCGAAATATCAATATAATATAATACTACCTTAATTAACACTAAATATTTCATGGGTTCATAATAGCTGTATTAAGATCAGTTTCCAGTGATTTACCTTGTGTATTGGCATCAGTATGATTTCTTTACTAAAGATGTCAATATTTTTAGTCCACATTCGCACCATTTCATATCCCCCATGGGAGAGTGTGTGGAAGAAGAAAGTGTCGAAGGTATCTAGAAGGTTATGGTGTTTTTTCTAATGAGCCTGAAATACCTGTTTATTACTTTTTCCCCATACCATGTCATATCTAACCTGATCGGGTCTTGGAACAGGTGCGGTGTCGTATTTCTGATGCCTTTCCTTCCTCGTACAGTTGCTGGTCAACTTCGCCGTTTGCAAAAATCTTTTCTAAAGCTGAAATATGGACTGGCGTGGCTGTTAGCGGTTGAATGGGATATTTCAGCAGGTTCTTGACCAGCTCCTCAATTGTTTTAGATGATGAATATTAGCTCACGGTAGTTCATAATGTTGTTGTCGGAACGTAGAGTTGGGACTGATGGCCTGTTTGTATTTTATTACGTTAGACGTTAGGTCTAGGTAGAAATAGGTATTTCTATATGATAAATTAATTTTCCGTAAATGCTATCGATAATTCTGTTAAACTAATGAAATCCAGTATGCTAAAAAATGGTTTAATGGTTCTTCTAGTGTTGTGTATTTTGGTTCAAATGTTAATTATTATTGTCGACTGAACGGCGGGGAAACAAGTCTACTATCAGGTGTTGCACTCTTTCCAACTTACTCAATAACATACTTAACACACGAGTAAATATGCCGATGAGTTTGCTTTGAAATGTATTCATACACTGGACTCGTTTCTTCAATCATACAATGAATGTACTTGATGATAAGGTTGACACATAAATCAAAAGTTTCTATCAAATTTAGGCGTATTCTCCAACCAAAGTAACATAAAAACGTGTGGACTCCCATGATGTTGGTCTCAACCCTGTAAAAGAACTTATAAACTGGACTATCTCTGAATATACCATTTTTATTTTTTAACAATTTAAATAAAGCCTTGAATCACGCACAACAGGATCTTCACGTATTAAATTTGATTTTTGAGCATATGACAAATTCATAGCGTCATCATCAGATATATCTTTGTGGTGGCGTAGTTTATACAATATTTTTAATAAATCACACCATTTTTCCTCACCTCAGCCAAATGAGAAGCTGAATTTTGCACATTGTGTAGTAATCGATAACCTTGATCGTCGTCAATCAACTTTGTTAAACTCTCTGAATTTGCGACATTTGCTGTAACAGACTGCAAATTGTCATTCTTATTTTTGCGTAACACAACTTCAACATTACTAGCTATTCGTTTATGAACAAAAACTTTACTTTTGAAAAACAAGTATCAACTGCGAACCGTCTATCGCTGTGCAAAAGCTCAGGTTGTATTACTTTTGAATAGTTCTTCAGTGAGTCCTGAATTTTCCTGGAACACCACCAAACAAATTTGGAAATTCTTTTCTTCCGCATGATCATAAATTCTCAGCTCTTCTAGGCAAAGTACAAGTTGTTCTTGTCAAATCAATTGGCACATTTACTACATTACCTTGAATTTTCTACTAACCCTCACTACGAAGGCATTTAAACATTTTCATAAAAGGTAACTGTAAAGAAATCATTTGTTTCTCTATTTGATTTAGTTTCAACACCGACGGCGGTACAGTGTTCAACTCAAATCCATTATCAACCTATAATGGAGAAATTTTTGATTTTCTTAAATGAACATAACAACTTGTACACACAGGAACACTTGTATCATCACCGGGTGTACAACACTTCATCCTTAAAATAGTGAATACTGCTTTTTGATATCTAACCATACTACTTCGTAATCGAAGACGATTACATGAAGAACACGTTTCTGATAGACCTTGTGTTTTCCGCAAGTTGTATTCAACCAACAACGTCTCCCATTTCTGTCTTGACATTTAATCTTTGACACGTAATCGTCCGTATGAGTTGATACTGTACATGACTTTTTCCGTACGACAGACTTTACACTACTGTCTGATGGAGCTCTTCTTTTATTCATATAATGACAACTCCTATATACTTTATTTTGTAACCTTTTTTCCTTACTCTTTTGAGAGCATGCTAGATTTAATGTCTTTTTGACAGAATCTTGTAGTCTTTTACAATACATCTTGTGCCTTCTGAAATTTTTTATCTTCATGTCAGGATTTTCCAACCGTTTTTCATATTTTTAACATCATGATATTGTGATGTTTTCTTTTTGCAGGATTTAAATGTGGAACTCCTTTGCAAAATCTTGCCATTCCAAGTGAATAGAACAGGATTGCGGAGGATAATCCACTCGGAGACGGTGGCGAACCCGGTCAACTCTGAAATGTAGAAGTATAACATTATCACACGTGCCAAGTTTGTCATCGAGTTGTCGGATCCGTCAGCAAGTGCACACACAGAGAGGAAAACTTATTTCTTAAATTCAAAACATGAAGCCATCCCATTGTTTACCTAGGTGGCAAAACGTAAGTTTGGCTTCCATGTTTCGAACACTTCCGACTTATCATCCGCAAGCTGTGACTTGGAATAGACCATTTTGCGTTTTTCGTACCATTCCCCAAAATTCTCATTTGTTAATCTTTTAGTTATGTAAATTTCAATGAGTACTCTGGCCTCTCGAATAGATAATTCAAGATTTTTAAAGTCATCATCATGAAGGGCATTGTCGTCTGATATAGCATTTTAATAATCGAAGGCATTTACTGCCGTAACCCTTAATACTTCGAATCCGTTATCTTGGAAAGCACGGCGGAATTCTTCATCCATATTTTTAAATAAAAACCTAATGATGTTTATAAAAACTATTAGACTTGTAAAACAAAGTATTTTACTATCATTAGTTAAAAAAAAATATTAAAAAAACACCTACCGTATTATAGAATATTATGTACTACTATCATAGATAAAGGTATGGAAGTCGATAAGTTTCTCCATTTTATTTTTTGGCGTAACGCAAATGTCATCGACTACCATGTCAGTCAGTTCACTGTCGTCGTTCTGTTCTTCGATTGCAGACACCATAACATATGAAGCATTCTATGCAAAGTATGATAATGTCCATGAAATGTGAAATGGGAAGATGAAAATTAAATATTTAATAAATTACTTAGATATCTATGAGTATGTTTTTATTTAATTGGTTACCAATGATAAAGGTGACATTTTGGAAGAAAATGTTTTATAGCTACCATATTATTAATTTATTGTTTATAATGATACTGCAGTGCAGTTATGAAAGCGATCACATGAGGAATTGTACAATGTATAAGTAATATAATAAAAAGAGTAGATATATTAAAAGTAGTTTTAGAAGTGTGTTATGAAATGAGTTTACACGATAAATAAACTTTTATGATGAAAGCACTTTTAATGCTTCCCAATTGTTTGTTGTATGAGCCAATTGCCAAACGTCTTGTCCAGTTATATCTTTCATGTGAAGGTCTGCTCCATTGTCTATAAGCGTTCTAAGTAAATCAGCGTTACTAAATACTATCACAGCTCTCATGAGTGGACTCCAACCTTTCGAGTCGATAGCGTTTACATCGCTCCATTTTTTTGTCAAAAGCATTTCGACGGCACAATTTTGAGATCCATCTACCGCGTAATGGAGAGCTGTTTTGTTATTTATATCTCTCATCTTAGCGTCCGCATTGTTGTGCGCTAAAATTCTAATTATGTCACAACGTCCATGAAAGGCAGCAGTCATTAGTGGAGTTTTTTTCATAAACATATTTGGTAAATTCACATCGGCGCCATTTTGTATTAACGTAAGGACCATATCCGCATGGCCAGCTGCGCAAGCCCTGGACAATGCACAATCGCCGACATCGTTATAGATATTTATGTCCTTGGGTCTTGTGTCCAGAAATTCGCGAAAAAGTGCCGGTAAATTCTGGTTAATACTTTGTTGGAACTGTGTAATCGATGGAGGTTCATTTTTAATAACGCAGCTTGCAGTTACTACGATTGGCATTGCACCTCGAGGCTTCACGATCAATCTGAATTGGTAACTGAAACCTCCAGATAAATTGTTTACTTGAAAACGAGTTCCAAAGCCCTTGTAAATAACCACCCAATTTCGCCCTTTTTCCTTCACTTCCAACTGATAAAGAGCATCCGTCAATTCCGGTGGCTTATTCCATTCCAATACAACAGAATTACGCGCAGCACTTATGTCCAAATCTAACTTGAGTGCCATTTACTGATTTTATAGTTAATTACTAGTGCATTATAATAACATTAAAAAGATAAAACTATAGGACTGTTAATAAAAAAATACCATCATCTTGTTTGTTGTTTCCACGGAAACTTGAAGTTTCTTTTATGTCTGGTTCCGCAACTTAAATATTATGTCAAAACTAATAGCAAAACAGGCAGCGTCAGAAATTATGTTCTGGGTATGAAGGGTAATGTTATTTTAATTTTATATTTTTAAATTAACTTAAAGATGATACTGCATACTTTAGTTGAATCGTAAAGGAAAGGAAAGGCATAGTAATTTTTTATTTTCGAATTCCAGCTTATATTTTTTTTTTAATACTCAATATTCGTAATAAACCATTTATATTGGTATTTTGTACTCTACTGTGTAACGAACCTGCTAGCCTAGTTGACTAAACTAGACGGAAAGGTCGCCGATAGGACTAAATAAGTGTGTAAAGTCTATGGCCTTTGAAGACTTTAAACACAAAGGTTGAAGATGGAATTTGGATGTTTTAAAATAAAAGAATACTTTCAATAACAAAGATATGGTAAGCTATGTATTTTCACAAGCATAAATTCAATACACAAACAGTATAACGAGTGTCTTGTTGCAGGTATGTGGAGCATACTATAACACAGCCAGGACACTCTGCCTCTGCCCTGCAGATCGGCTGGTATTTACGCAAAATTGCCATCCAGGTGAAATGGAAGGAGTCATTGGCATCCCCGCATTGAGTGACCTTTTGGCATTGTGCAATCTTCAATCCGTGGAGTCCGGTTCGAAGGTGATTTGGCAAGCTGTCCACTGTAATTCGCGGAACATTGTCGGATACATATTGTTGAGGCTATAACAGGTAATGGAGCGCAATTCTATGCCGGTTATCGCCAATGATACAGATGCCCTCTTATCTTGGTTGTCGCGGCCGTCCACACCACTCCGCCCTACTCCGCACGATCTATACTGGCAATACTACCGGTCAGCTGTTCACACACACACACACACACACACACATATACGCACCGGGTTATACTATGTAAACAAATGTGCCACGCCCGTATTATCAGTGTTAGTAGTGCACTTGTTGCATTCTTGTGAATTTGAAGTACATAATATTAATCTAGACTTTTTTGTGTGTTTTTCTTCAGTGTTTTTTAGTTTTAAGTGTTATTATAGTATTTTTAAGCCATAAGGGCACTGTGATTTTTTATTATTATTGTCTTAAGGACAAAAGATTGTTTATTATTGTATTTTTAAGCCATAAGGGCATTATTGAGTTGTCATAAGGACAAAAAACTATTTTAATATTTTTTTTTGTTGTTCACTTTACTTTGTGTCTAGTATTATTTAGGTTTAGGTAGCAGCCCTGGCCAGCGGTTTGCAGTTCTTCGGTTTGTGAGTACTTTTTATTTATACCATATTTTATTGAGTTTGTTTTATTTGTATTTTAGTTAACTACTGTGAATTATTAGAACATATTTTGATCTCATTTACTAAATACAAGTTAGGGCGATAGACATAAGGTTAATCGTACCATCTATATTGCTAGTTAGCCATAAGGGTTCAATCTAGTCAATAATCAATATTTGTATTTGTGAATAATTTTTGTTGTTCTAATAACCACCTTAGTTATCAAAATACTTTTAACGTCATAAGCTTTAAGCACTCACTTAACTTTACCTTTTAATCTAGTCATTACTATATTAATTATTTATTTGTGTTTGTGAATTATTATTCACAGACCAGATTAATTTATTATTGTGCCAAAAGGGCAATTAATTCCTTTTAGTTTACCAATCTTTTTTTTATACTAATTATTTATTTGTGTTTGTGAATTTTATTCACAATTGTATCTTGAGCCAAAAGGGCTAATTATTTATTTATTACCATTTATTATAGCATTTTATTGAATATTATTATTATTATTATTATCATCGAGTTTGAGTTTTATTTATTTAGTTTTTAGTTATAGTTTTAAGTTTCCTACACATCCACACTATACACACTAAACACACTTTTGCACCACATAGCTCACTGGTCTTGCGTAGGCGATCCCTCACACTTCCAGTGAGACTATTTACCCCACTACCCACACAGCACTGATCGGTAAGTGTAAGGCAATTGGTAACCGGGTAAGTGGCCTATTATTGTCCGCCCCCGGCCCGTTCATTTTGGTGACCTCGACGTGATTGTTTGCCTTTCGTGCATCGTCGGGATGTACATGTAATGATAAGTTGTTTTTTATCTTGTAGTTACTTTGATGTGCATCAACGGCACCAAACAATGATAGAAACATGTCAAGCCGTGATTCTTTCGGCCCCTCAGATAAGTGCAGTGTGGTGTAATTTTTAGCTGCAAGGGAACAGGTCTCTATTGTTCCTAGCCCTCCACACGACATTGGTGTGCACATCAACCGTTTTATTTCTGCCATCGTGAACTTGCCTGAAAACCAGCTTGTTATATCTCTACATATCCAGTTCAGGTATGAGTGCGGGTTGTTGAGATGACAGTTCGCACATGTCGTCATTCTGCTCAATAGTGAATACCACGAGTTGGCGATCTGTTGAGGGTAGTCCACTGAGTATTGGTCCAACCACGGGTTGGCGTAGTATATTGACCTAACTGTTCTGGCTGGGTACGCGTCGATCTTGCGCCTATGATATCGGTATTTCAGGAATTCACCAATGTCGCCCTGTGATGATTTGGTTCTGTTGATGTTTAGGCCGAAGTCGTCAGCCACAGTCTCTATTGTCTCGTACGGGACTGGTTTCTTCGGAATGATGAATATATCATCCCCCTGCACGATGTAATCGCAAGGCACCCCTACAACTTTGGTGTAATATTCACAGTACAGCGCGCTCACTAAGGACCCTATCAGCGATGTGAATCTCCAACCGCTCAACAAACCCTTCTGCCACTGATATGTCCTGTCAAAGCACGTTATCTGCAGTTTCTCCAGATGTAACATTTCATCGCGGATAACTCGAAGTAGACAAGACTTGATTGGATAGTCGCATAGGTCTGAGATGTGCTTAAAGAGTCGTCGGAATATATACATTATGAACCACTTAGGTATGTTATGATCGAACGCTGACGCGTCTACACATACGTATTTTGGATGGCTTAGCCTTGATATGTCGGGTAAGAGGCTACTATCTGTCAGTGTGGACTTTAAGAATTTGGGTTTCCCCAGTGAGTACCATATGTACGATTGCCGTAGGTATGAACACATTGGGGTTGTGATGACTAGCCTCGTCTTTGCCTCCTCCTTCAATGCAACGGTACACTTATCGGATTCAGACAGGGCCATTCCGTAAACGTCACTGGTTTGTTGCAAGGCATTCAATGCCCATGCCCACTTTGACCTGATCTTGCTCTTAGTGTCAGGGTTGAGGTTTACGGCGGGTGCCCCTCCTGAGGTACCCCATTTCATTGGATCTGTCACGAATTCCTTGAACTTTAAAGCGTTGCCCTTGATCTGCCGAACCCAGCTAGCCAACCATGTGTCTGTTTGCCTTGTTATGAAGTGTGTTGTGTCCTTGTTGGCTGACCCCCATGTTGCTTCACCTTGCGTCCATTCCTCGCATTTAGCATATATCTCGTCTTTGTCCCATCCTCTTGGGCCTCCGATGTTGCTCAGTCCATGTAACAGGCTACCCAGTGTTGCTGTGTCGGTTCGATTCGACCATACAAATGTGCATCGGTCCAAAGTGGAGAGCGCTTGTCGTACAAAATCGATGCGGTACCCATGCGGTATAGTTGCACGTAACGCGTAGATGTATGCCACTACTGACGATAGTACCAGTTGTGAGGTTTTGGCGACTACTTTATCGGCGATCATCCCAAGCAGATGGAAATACATGTTAAGTGGCTTGTTGAATGGATCGAAATTGTCCTTCTCGTCTGCAACAGTTTGTTTGTCCAGTAAGCCGTATGATATACTATTTCGACATCGACGTAGTTTCAACAGTGTTTTGAGCGGAAAGTCCGTGCGTAGTAGACCTGTTGGCGAATCGGTTGTGCAGACGTTATGCAAATCCCTGATGTCGACCATTACCTGCTTCAAGCCGTCTAAGCGACCCAGACTGGCTGCGCCCACGATTTTAAGTCTAGTGATCAAAGATGTAAACAGGTTTCTCTCCCACCCCAGGTTGGTGAAGGGTGCCCCGAACGGGTTGAAGAGTGATCTGGTCTGCTGCGACAAGTTCGTCGGGTTATACAGCAGACCATAGACTAGATATCTAGGCATTTGAGGGCGCAGCACCAGATCGAAAGAACGCCTCATTGAAGGTGTCACCGATCTTTCCGGTTGCCCACTCGATCGCTGGATCCGCAAGTGATAGTAGTGCGGATTTCACAGCATCTGGATAATTCAAAGTCAATATTCCGGGTAGTGCAGCAACGCCGGCCTTTACGAGGTGGGACAGAAGCGGGTCTGGATGTCTTAGCCCTTCACCTTCGATGCTTAGGAAGCCTTTGTCTGTGTTGTCGCGGAATGGAGTTTGTACACCGACAAATGTAATGGCTCCTTTTTTGTCGCGTTTGCTGTTATCGTGTATGAAAGGTACAGTTTGGATGTTGCCGGCTAGACGGTCGCTGTCATTCACCGAACAGGTTACCCCTATGGCCACCCCCTGAACGTTCGTTGTCGCGTCAAAGTACAAGTCGTCATACGCCAGTGTCCATGAGTTTAAGTTGTATGTTCCCATGCTGTTTTTGTATATGACGAAAGGATGTCTGTTGTATCGATCTGTTCCGCACAACAGTGGTAGCGCAGCCCAAGGGCTTGTCATGTCAATAGGGTACCCGTCGAGTGTTCCGTCATCGATGTCACCGATGTAAACGTCTTCCAGCAAGTTCGGGAGTTTAAACCTCAAACCGTACTTCTCGCAAACTCCCTTCACAAGCCAGAAGGGCAACACCAGACCGTTTAAGTAACCGAAGTTCAGCGCGTTGAGTTGGTATACGGTTCTGAGATCGGCAATCAAATCCACGTC